TCAGTATGTACTTTACCAGCATTGGTTTCTGTTCAGGTTGCTGCTATGGAGCAGAGGATGTGGAGGCACTCACTGAACAGAATGTTTCTCTAAGAGTGTTGCAGGCTAAAAATCCCAAGCACCTTTGTCTTCCCAGAAGAGCCACCCCTGTGAGAGATGTGGGCCCTCTTGTGAGACATTTTGCACTTGGTTGACCACCAGGGAACACAACAGAGACGGACACTGCTGAGGTGTGGGGCATGTGCAAAACCATTTTATTTCAGTGCACAGAATCACCAGCAGCAGGAGTAGGATACAACACAGAATGGTTTCATCAGCAATATGGACAGGGTTTCACATGGAAAGAGCTGCAGTTTCCATGTGTCATGGACGGCTTGTACCTCTGATTGGAATGGGAAATATTTCCTAACCAGCTCAGGGCATCTCAAGCAACTGGCTACTCACATCATGCACAGGGCAAAGGAAATCTCTAAGTCAGGAATAACTTTCAAAATAGAAAATGTTATTATACCTCTAGAGAATGCAAGAAAGCCTATGAATGTGATTACACATTTCTTGAGGACCAGAGTTTCCTTACAGAAAGACAGTGTTGTATGTGTTGTGAATGTGGGAAATCTTTTACCAATGGCTCTGCCTTCCATGGTCATCAGAGAGTTCATACTAGGGAAAGGCCTTATGAGTGTGGTAAATGTAGGAAATCTTTTCTCTAGAGATTTGCCCTTCGTTGTCCTCAGAGAGTTAACACTGAAGAAAGACCTTATGAGTACAGTGAATGTAAGAAATGTTTCAGAAAGAGCTCTGACCTTATTCAACACTGTCAAGTTCATTCTGGGGAAAAGCCCATGTGAGTGCAGTAATGTGGAAAAACTTACAAAAGTAACTGTGCCTTTTTTCTTCATTGAAGAGTTCAACCTGGATAAAAGCTTTCTGTGTGCAGAGACTGTGGGAAACTTCTTACCTGTAGCAGTCACTTCCATTAGAATCCAAGTTCACATGCAAAAATGTACTTAGCATTGCAGTAAAAGCCTGAAGTCTTTTATCTGTAACTTTAACCTTCATTGTCATATGAGAGTTCACAGTGGTGGAAAGGCCATATGAGTACAGTGAATGTGGGAAATCCTTCATCTGTATCAGTCACCTTTGTGGTCTTCTGAGAGTTCACACTGGAGGAAAGCCTTATGCCTTCAGTGAATTTGGAAAATCCTTTTCTTATACCAGTAATTTCAATTATTATGAGAGAGTTTGCACTGTAGAAATGCCTTCTGAGTGCTGTGAATATGGGGAATACTTTACCAGTATCCATGTCCTTCATTATCATTAGAAAATTCACAATGACTAAGTTCTTGGAAGTTAAGAAAATTTGGGTCCTGGTTGGTGTGACTCAGTGCATTGAGCACCAGCCTGTGAACCAAAGGGTTGCCATTTCCTTTCCCAGTTGGGGAACATGCCTGGGTTGCAGGTCAGGTCCCCAGTGAGGGGCACACTAGAAGCAACCACACATTGATGTTTCTTTCCCTCATTTTCTCCTTCCTGTCCTCTCTGTTTAAAAATAAAAATAAATAAAATCTTAAAGAAAAAGAAAACTTGGGAATTGTTTTGTGTATAGCCATTTCCTTTGTTATCTTCTCTGAGGTCACAAAGGTGATAAGTTTGAAATGTACATGCAATATGAGAAATCCTTTTTTTGAGCACTAATCTCCATTATATTCAGAGATTTCCCTCTGGGAAATGGTCTTAAGAGTACAGTGTGTGTGGGAAATTCTTTTTTCTACCTTTTTTTTTCTTTTCATATCATCAGTTTACACAGATGATAGGCCTTATGGGGATATCACATGTGAGGAATATTTTACCTTGTAGTCATTATCACCTGAATCACAGTTCACACTGGTTATAGGCTTCAAGCATGAAGTAAACATGGGAAATCTTTAGCCATAAATCTACACTTTTTGACATAGAAGAGTTCTCATGGTATAAATGACTAGATTGTAGGAAATTTATTTATTTATTTATTTATTTATTTTTGCAGTATAAAGATACTGAAGAAAACTTTCTGAAGAAATATCTGAGTTTAATTTTATATATTCACAGTACAAACATGTCTCAGAAGTTGAATGTTTAAAGTTTGAAGAATCTAACAATGTATGATCTAAACTAATTGTCCTTTATTATACATTCTGTTTAAAAAGATTTATTTATTTATTTATTCATTTATTTTTAGAGAAAGGGGACAGGAGGGAGAAAGAGGTAGAGAAACATCAGTGTGTGGTTGCTCCCATGGGCCCCAAATGGGAACCTGTCCTGAAACCCAGGCACATGCCTTGACTAAGAATCAAACTGGCAACACTTTGGTTCACGGGCTGGCACTCAAACCACTTAGCCACACCAGCCGGTGCTGCATTCTTACTCATAGTGCATGAGGGTTGCATTTCCACACTCAAACAAAATCTTGATTTGTTCAATTTTTATTAATTTAACCTCTTTTTATTCATCATGATCTCTCTGTTGTTTTAGTTGCACTTCCCTAAAGATTTATCATGAACATTTTTGCAGGTGTGCATGCATGACTGACATGCTTTTAGAAAATATGTGCTCACACAATTTTCCTATTCTTTTATTGATTTGGGCTCCTCTCTTTAACAAATAGTAAAACAATAAAGATATATGTCATAATGTGACCTATCTTCACTCCTTGAACAACAAGTAATTTTCGCTTTATGATCTATCCTCTGGGCTGGAGCAGGACTTCAAAATGAACTGGGTAAATGAGTATTAATGGGTATTTGTTGAGCTCTGGTCCCTTCTGGGAGCCAAAAAGAAGAGATCAGCATTTAGAATATCTTGGGCCTGCAACCTGGGTTTCATTCTTGGATTATTGACCATTGCTGTGATTCGAGAAAAATGATGTCTATGGGCCTCAGTTTCCTCCTTTGTAAAACAGGGGTGATGAGCAGCCTTGACCTAGGACTTGGTGTTTCTATGAAAGGCAGTGGCTATACCGCCAGTTATCTGCTGTGGGTGCCATGCACAGGTCTCACTCCTAGAACCTTCGCCCTTCAGTTCTTAGAAAACAAAATGTATTAAGAAAAATAAGAAGATCAAAACTATGAAAAATAAAATTACAATAAATGCATACCTATCAACAAATGCATCTAAAAACAAACTAAGCAAACGAGAAGAACAGACACATGATGGATTTGGAGAGTACATTTTGGTGGCTGCCAGATAGGAGGTGGGAGAATGGGTGAAGAGGTGAGGAGATTAAGAAGTATAAATTGGGTCCTGGCTGGTATGGCTCAGTGGATTGAGTGCTGGCCTGTGAACCGAAAGGTCTCTGTTTAGATTCCCAGTCAGGGTACATGCCTGGGTTGTGGGCAAGGTCCCTGGTTGGGGGCATGCAAGAGGCAGCCAACTGATGTTTCTCTCTTACATTGATGTTCCTCTCTCTTTCTGCCTCCTTTATCCCCTCTCTGAAAATAAATAAATAAAATCTTTTAAAAGAAAGTACAACTCAGTAGTTATAGAACAGCCATGGGGATATAAAGTACAGAAATGGAGTAACCAAAGAACTTACACACATGACCCATAGATATGAACAATTGTGTAGGGATTGCCTGGGGAGGAAGTGTGGGGTGCTCAGTGGAAGTAGGGCAAAGGGCGAAAAATTGGGATAATGATAATAATACAATCAATTTAATGTAATTTAAAAAAGGAAATGAGTGGAGCTTATCAGATTCCCCATATCTGCTTCAGTCCACACAGACTTTTCAATGTGGAGGAGGTGTCTTCAGGGCTCCTAGGTCTCAGTATGGATCCCCCACTGGGGCATCTCTTGGTGACAGTAAATCTCCCCAAAACTCACTTCACTGACTGATATGAAATTAATAAAGACACTAATGATACCCTTGTGAGGATCAATAGAGGTAACAGAATTCAGTCAACACTTATACATACTGGTATTGCAGGTTTTCTTTTTTGATTAGTTTCTTTTTAATTCAACTGCACATTCTGATTAGTAACTGTTATTGTATATTTTGGGACTGAGGATCAGGATTAGGAAGGGATTTTTCCGAGGTCATGCAGCAGACAGAAATCAGATTAAAGAGGATAGATTCAAATTCCTGAGTCTGGCTCCAGAGCTGGGGTCAATCCCTGTCATATCACACTGAGTACTTAGTGCAAGGCAGGAGACAGCAAACACCCGGAAAATGAGAAACTCAGTCGCTATTGCTGTTTTCATTGTTGCAATTATCATGGTTTTTTCTCATTTTTCTGGTGTCTTAGAGTGCTTAACATCTGCCTCATATTGTTCATGAGAACGCTGTTATTTTCCGTGGTTTCTCCAGGAAAACTACTTTAAAACTTAGCTGCATTTTTAAAATTTACTTACTCATTTTTAGAGGGAGGGAGGGAGAAAGAGGAGAGAAATATCAATGCGTGGTTACCTCTCATGTGCCCCCACTAGGGACCTGGCCTGCAACCCAGGCATGTGCCCTGACTGGGAATCAGCTGGTGACCCTTTGCTTTGCAACCCGGCGTTCAATCCACTGAGCCATGACAGCCAGGGCAGTGCATGTTTTAATAGATTAACTTAGCTAAGCAAGTTCAACTGAGGAAGGCTAGCTAAAGTTAGCGACTTGAACTACCTCCACCAACCACATCCAGCCTGAAGTATCCACATGTCATATGCCCTGAATCAAAGGCCTTGCCAGAGACCCTCGCCCGACAAATGTTCTTCACTGGAAGGCAATACTGAGCACTTATCATTCTCAGGGTATTCTTGGGGTGTAAATTTGCAAATCCACTCCTGCAAAGGGCTGGCGTAATTCAGGATGCCATCCTTGAGTGTAAGATCTCCATTACCTAGAAGGCAGGCTTGGAAGAGCAGGACAATGAGCCAATAAAAATTCTGAAATGCATTTCCGGTAGGGTACTACTGTAAGGCGGGACTTTTGCCTCCCGTTGACTGGCATTTCCGGTTCTCTCAGTTTCGCTATCAAAGTCTGGGTGTGTGGTGCCAAGATCGAGCAGAGTGGGCGCCAGAGATGTGGTCTCCACAGCAGCTGTGAGACCCAGCAAAGCTGCTCGGGTGACCGGCCCTTGAGGCAGCCCAGGGACCCCCTTATTGCCCGCTGCCCAGGGTCCCCTGGCCCCCAAAGTCCAGTGGCGGCGGGCACGCTGAGGCGCGGGGTGTAGGTGAGTGCGGGACCCCTGCCCATCCCCTTCACCGCACCGAGCCCTGCAGGCCGGGCGTGGTGAGTCTGTCACGTCCTGGAACCCAGGCCCCAGTGACCCTTTCCGGTGAGACGGTCGTGGGTGACACGTGGTGTGACCGGAGCAGAAAAGGGTGACGAGCTCGGGGGCCGACGGCAGTTTTCTTACCGAACCTATAACACCCCGGAGACTGCTCATGCCCTGGCACATTCAGAAAATCTTGGCGTTTCAGACAACCTTCGGGTCATGGGCGGGCCTACGGTCAATTTGCATACAAATCAAGGTGGACTAAAGCAAGTTTTATTCAGGTAGAAAAAAGAAAGGCCAGTGTGGGCGACACAGTGCAGGAAGCAAAACATGTGCCTCCAGGTGGAGTCAGGTCAACAGACGAGACAGGGGCGAATGCTGAGATAGTTCTTGGGGTTTTACCCTTTTTCCTAGGTGGGGGCTATTTCTGCAAGATCCTTGCCGCCACAGTTTGAGTAGGACTCCTGGCTGGCAGGGGTGTTCCAAGATTGCAATTCCCTGATTGCCCAAGGATCTTCCCACCATGAACTGTTTTCCCTTGTTGGTGCGCGGAGGGAGGGGCTGAAGCTACCTGTGTGGCTTCCTACATCCTCCTTACATCTGTGAGGAGATTTCCCTAAATTCTTTCTGCCCTGCCTCAGTTGTATTAGGTCATTCTGAAACACGTAAGCACGGTCTGGAAGCCATATTCTAAGTACCCTTTGCTCTCAGAGTGATGCCTGTTGTGTGGAGCAGGAGGTGGCAGAGCTGAGGAAGTGAAACTGAGGTGTGAAGTTGTGAAGGAGGAAGAATTACACTGTGCCCAGCTAGAGGAAGTGTGAACTCATGGTCTCAGGTCCTTGGTGTGAGGATTGAAGGGTGAAACATAAGCCCATGTATGGCTCTGCTGAAGAGGCATGGTCTGGGAGACTCAGTAGAATTGGTGGACAGGAGGGATGCAGCCCAGAAGGTTTGGCTTGAGACTAGATGCCTACTTCTCTGCTGCAGGACCAACCTTTTCTGTTGTTGCTGAGGATGCTGTGATTAATGAGACTGATGAGACAGTAAGCAGCAGGGCTGTTTTCCTCTCTGAATGGGGTATCCTGGATGGTTTTATGAGTGGGTAAGATTTGTCTAGAATAGCATTGGCAGGGCTGGTCTCAGACAGACTATTCTGGATTCATTTATATTAATTCTGACAGGTTTTTGTGACCTTTGAGGATGTGGCTGTGTATCTGTCCAGGACAGAATGGTGCCTCCTTGATGAGGCTCAGAGACGCCTGTACCTGGATGTGATGCTGGAGAACTTTGCTCATGTATCCTCGCTGGGTAAGACACTGACTGCCCCTTTGTGCTCAACTTTGGCATGCCTGCACCCACCTTTCTCCAGGGTTGAGTTGGGTTCTATTACGACCTCTAAGGGTCCTGACCAGACTTGTACCCAGGAAGCCATGGACAGCAGCAGTGTGCCTTGGGCTCACCTCTGATTCTGTCTCCAGGGACCCTTCTTTTTCCCTCATTGGCACAAACTTTAATAAGTTAACTTTCTACTTAAAACATAATGACTTTTACACTCACCATGCACTTGGACCAGGCTTTGTATGTCCCATACCCTTCATTTTTTAGGAGTTGCCATGTCCTCACATGTTGACTGTAGGTGCACAGTTTGCTCTCCCAGGTTTCTGGGTAGGTCATGGGGTTGGCAGGGTGGTGTGTTGGCACTGCCCCCTTCTCTCCCAGCTGCCCCAATACCTGCTGTTCTGAAACCCCATAGAGGGGAAGGATTTGAGGTCAGTATTGTTGCCAGAAATCTAACTGATTTCACATTGAGTAGTGTGGAAAGTAGTTTTTTATAATCCTGTTGATAATATCTTCATATATATATTTACTTTTAATCTTCATCCAAGGATATGTTTACTGATGGTTAGAGAGGTAGGTGTAGAGAGACAGAGAGGGAGACAGAGAGAGACACACAGAGCAGTGTGAGAGAAAAGCATCAGTCATTGCCTCCTTTGTGTCCCCATGTAGGGATTGAACTTGCAAGCGTTTCGTGCTGTTCTGGAAAACTACCCAACCATCTAATCCACCTAGCCAAGCTATATAAAATATTTTGTGTATATTTATTAGTCCTGTTTTCTCTAAATAGTAGTCAGCTCTGGCTGGTGTACCACAGTGGACTGACTATGGCCCTATGAACAAAAGTGTCACTGGTTTGATTCCTGGTCTAGGGCAGATGCCGGGAATTTGGGGCAGATCCCCAGTAGGAGGCTTGCGATAGGCAACCACACCTTGATGTTTCTTTCCTTCTGTTTTTCCCTTCCCGTCTTTAAAAATAAAATCAATAAAATCTTAAAAACAAAGAGGGTCATCAAACTTCATATAAGCTGACTCTTAGATGGTGTATCCATTTCCCTACTTGAGCATGTCTACTCTTGGGAACTCTTTGCAGTTTTTACTTTATTTGTCATAGTCTCAACTCCAGTTTTTCAGTTTTATGTTTTTATGATTTCTGATTGTGATCACCATATTGTGTGACTGTATTTGTTCATTATGTTGAGTACCATGCATATTTACATGTTCCTCACTGGGATTTTTTAGAATGATTATTTGTATTTTTGCTTGGGCAATGTGTAATTCTACATTTATTGGGAATTCAGTAAAAAATTGTGAGGTACCATTTGTGATTTTTTTTTACATTTCTTTTGCTCTTAGTGTTGAGGTCTAAGCATTTTATGAGACAGTTACCATAAGAATTTGTTTTTGTATTGAAGATTTATTTATTAATTGCCAAGAGGGGAAGGTTGAAAGAAAGAGAGGAAGAGAAACATTAATGTGTCAGAGCAGCGTCTATTGTTTGCCTCTGGCATGCCCCCGTCTAGGGTCCTGGCCTGAAACACAGGTATATGCAAGGACCTGGAAACCTTGAGGTGGACACTGTGATAGTAGGCCAGTGGTCAACCCAGTGAAACACCCAAGCCAGAGCTAGCTGCATGTGGATTCGAGTGTTCTTAGTAGGTGATGTGTTGTGTTTTTCGTGAAGTCATTTCCTATTCTGCTTGCTGCCCCATGAGCTGAAGTTAGAGTAATGAAGTCTGTAGGGGTCCTTCATGGCCAGGGGAATACTTTTCCAAATACCTAGTGGTCCCTGTTGGATTCTTGGTGGCAAAGATTGCTGGGAGTAGATGATGTTATCCCTTCCTAAGAGATGCTGTGGCCAAACGTCTTCCTCCTGATATCCTTTCTGATGAACTACAGGTTCCTTTGAGATAAAATCTGTGGGAGGTTGGCAGATATTATTGAGATTTCTGAAGCTCTCAGAGTCAATGGTTACCATGGTCATTCACAGAACAGGCCACTAAAGTCCACTGTAGCATAAGCTCAGTGGCTTGGAGAGGAAGCTCTCACCCTTCTCTTAGGAATCTAATCATCTTTGCTAAGGCTTTCTCTATTGCAGTTCTTTCTGTGGTATTTCTTGTTTTATGCTCCTCTTTATAGCTCTTTGGAAATTGATCTCCTAATTACTTCCCCTTTTCCATAGAGTTGCTTTTATCATATATAATTATAATTACTCTTGAAGGCGGAAAATAATTGTCTTTTTTATTCTGCCATCCTGGTGCTGGTACTCCCACAGATCTTTTTCTTTCTGTCTGTGCTGAGTTGTTCTATGATAGTGCTGGTAATGCATGTCGTATGTTTTCTCTTACAAGTTGCATCAGCGCTATTCCATGTAACTGCTCAACTGGGAGGGAACTGGAGGAGTCCTTTCTGTAGCACAAGAGGTACATGAGTCCAGCCATGACAGGATGGGCTTAGAGGTGCTCTGGTGCCATTAGAGGCACCTGGGGGAGGGTTTGATGTCATAGCTTTGTTAAAATATAATCAGAAACCTGTTCTCTTTAACTGCATTTTGTTCGCATTACCAGTGGACACACCTTAATCTACATGTCCTTTCTAAGTGTTGGCACTTTGCCTATTTTTTAATTCTCATAGTTATCTTTTCTAATCTGATTCTAGCCTGAGCTAATCTCTCCCTCTATATCCTCTACATGACAACCCTCTGTGTGAGGAGTGTTGTTGGTGTGCTCTCCAACTTTACTCAATGATCATTGTCCCTTGAAGGTGCAAATTTATCTATAGGAACCTCACCAGTATCCATTCTGCTGTGGTTGATTACCATGGTTTTTGGCACATTCATTTTCCTCTACACAGCCTCACATCACCAGCAGGAATGATTTTGCAGGCCACCATCAGCAGAGCAACTTTTAAAGCCTACCTTTCCTTGTTCCATGTCCTACCATAATGTACTGCAGTTAATGGGGGGACCATTGTTTTCTGTGTTACTTGCCTAGTAATGCACAGCCACCCTTTCTTAGAGTCTATCACACTTGCTTTGATAATTGTCGCAGGGAATCATCCGTAAATACGACAGATGAAAATTTGTGATGCGAATACCCCCTCCCTACTTCAGTATGTACTTCAGCAGGGTTTGTTTTTGTTCAGGTTGCTGCTGTGGAGCAGAGGATGTGGAGAAACCCACTGGACAGAAACTCTCTGAACAAGCATCACAGGAAAAGTATCCCAAGGCAACTTTGTCTTCTCAGAAGGGCCACCCCTGTGAGAGGTGTGGGCCAGTGTTTAGAGACATTTTCCTCTTAGTTGATCATCAGGGAAAGCAACACCACAGAACTCTGCTGTGGTGTGGGGCATGTGCAAAACCATTTTATTTCAGTGCCTGGAGGAACCAGCATCAGGAACAGGACACAATGAAGAATTACTTCCTAAGCAGTGTGTACAGTGTCTCACTTAGAAAGAGCTGAAATTCCTATATGTCATGGAAGCCTCGTATGTCTAGTCAGGTTGTAAAAGACTTCACCATGACCTCAGGACATCTTGAGCAACAAGATACTGATACCATGTACAGGGAAAACAAAATCTCTTAGTTTGGAATAACTCTTCACAGTACAAAATATCAATATAGCTGAAGAGAATGTAAGAAAGCCATGGGAATTGAGGACCAGAGTTTCCTTACAGGAAGCCAGTGTTTTCAGTATTTTGAATGTGAGAAGTCTTTTTCCAGAATTTCTTCCCTCCCATGTTCGTCAGAGAGTTCACACTGGAGAAAGGCCTCATGAGTGCAGTGAATGCAGGAAATCTTATACCAGAAGTAATGCCTTCCATAAACATCAGACAGCATGCAATGGAGTAGGGCCTTATGAGTACACTGAATGCGGGAAATCTTTCAACTATAGCCAGTTCATCTTAGTTATCAGAGAGTTCACACTGGAGAAAAACTTTGTACATGTAGGGACTGTGGAAGATTGTTTACTTGGAACTCTGGTTTTCTGAATCAAAAAGTTCACACTGGAGAAAGGCCTTATGAGTACAGTGAACGTGGGAAATATTTTCCTTGGAGTTCCTCGCATTTGAAGCATCAGAAAAATTCACAGTGGAGAAAGGCCTTATGTTTGCAGTGAATGTGGGAAATCTTATACCACTAGCTCTGACCTCCATTATCATTCAGAGAGTTCACACTGCAGAAGGGCCTTATGAGAGTAGTGAATGTGGGAATACTTATTCTAGTAGGTCTGTCCTCCATAGACATTGGAGAATTCACACTGGTGAAAGGCCTTTGAGTGCAAGAAATGTGGGAAATCCTTTGCCAGGAGCTTTACCCTTCGTTGCCATCAGAGAGTTCACCTTGGAGAATAACCTTATGGCTGCACTTTATGTGCAGATACTTTCATTAGTAGCTCTGCCTTTTGTCATCATTGAGCTGTTTACACTGGATAAAGGCCTTTTGAGTGCAGTGACTGTGGGAAATCCTTTATCATTATCAGTGACCTTCACTGTTATCAGAGTTCTCACTGGAAAATGTCCTTATGCATGCAGTGAATTTGGGAAATTCTTTTTTTGCATTCGTAATTTCAGTTGTTATGACAGAGTTTACACTTCAGTGATGCCTTTTAATTGCCAAGATTATGTGTAATATCAAATTGTTTGGCTTTTTACTGTACGAAGTGTAGTAGATACACATCATAAACTTTACTTATTTTTATTTTTTAAATATATTTTATTGATTATGCTATTACAGTTGTCCCATTACCCCCCTTCACTCCCATCCACCCTGCACACCTCCTCCCACCCACATTCCCCCCCTTTAGTTCATGTCCATGTGTCATAAGTTCTTTTTTTTTTAATATTTTAGACATCCTATTAACTTTTTTTTTAAAGATTTTATTTATTTATTTTTAGAGAGGGAAGGGAGGGAGAGAGAGAGAGAGAGAGAGAAACACCAATGTGCGGTTGCTGGGGGTTCTGGCCTGCAACTCAGGAATGTACCCTGGCTGGGAATCGAACCTGGGATACTTTGGTTCCCAGCCTGCGCTTAATCCACTGAGCTACGCCAGCCAGGGCTGTCATAAGTTCTTTAGCTTCTACATTTCCCATACTATTCTTGCCCTCCCCCTGTCTATTTTCTACCTACCATCTGTGCTACCTATTCTCTGTACCTTTTCCCTCCTCTCTTCCTCCCACACCCCTGTTGCTACCCCTCCATGTGATCTCCATTTCTGTGGTTCTGTTCCTGTTCTAGTTGTTTGCTTAGTTTCTTTTTGTTTTAGGTGTGGTTGTTAATAATTGTGAGTTTGCTGTCATTTTACTATACATGTTTTTTATCTTCTTTTTCTTAGATAAGTCCCTTTAACATTTCATATAATAAGGGCTTGGTGATGATGAACTCCTTTAACTTGACCTTATCTGAGAAGCACTTTATCTGCCCTTCCATTCTAAATGAAAGCTTTGCTGGATATAGTAATCTGGGATATAGGTCCTTGTCTTTCATGACTTGGAATATTTCTTTCCAGCCCCTTCTTGCCTGTAAGGTCTCTTTTGAGAAATCAGCTGACAGTCTGATGGGAACTCCTTTGTAGGTTACTGTCTCCTTATCTCTTGCTGCTTCTAGGATTCTCTCCTTCATTTTTACCTTGAGTAATGTAATTATGATGTGCCTTGGTGTGTTCCTCCTTGGGTCCAACTTCTTTGGGACTCTCTGAGCTTCCTGGACTTCATGGAAGTCTATTTCCCTTGCCAGAATGGGGGAAGTTCTCCTTTATTATTTGTTCAAATAACTTTTCCACCTATAGCTCTTCCTCTTCTCCTTCAGGTATCCCTATAATTCAGATGTTGGAACATTTCAAGATGTCCTGGAGGTTCCTAAGCCTCTCATTTTTTTGAGTTCTTATTTCTTCATTCTTTTCTGATTGTATGTTTTTTTCTTTCTTCTGGTCCACTCCATTGATGTGAGACCCAGCTTTCTTTTTATCACTATTGGTTCCCTGTGCATTTTTCTTCATTTCACTTATTGTAGCCTTAATTTTTTCATCCAATTTGTGACCAAAGTCAACCAATTCTGAGAGCATCCTGATCACCAGTGTTTTGAACTGCGCATCTGATAGGTTGGCTATCTCTTGGTCGCTTAGAAGGATAAGTTCTGGTGCTTTCATTTCTTCTTCTGTTTGAGCCATTTTTTGGGGGGGGTGTAGTTGCCCCTGTTACGTATGAGGGGTGGAGCCCTAGGTGTTCACCAGGTTGGCGTAACTCAGGCGCTGGGTTGTGATGCTGTATGTGGGGATGGGGTCCAAGAGGGAACAATGGTGCTTGCTCTGCTCTCTATGAACTTCAGTCCCTTCCCCTGCTTTCCCCAAGCAAACTGGACCTTTCTGGTGCTGATTCCCATGTGGGTGGGCTTGTGTACCCCATGGGTCTTTCCAAAGACCTCTCCTGTGAGACTGGGAGTCTCTCCCTGTGCCTCAACCCCCACAGGTGTTTTCAATCAGTGCCCCAAGGCTCTATTTCCCAGCACTGGGATCCTGGGTTGTGTGCAGTGCCTTGTTTCACAATTCCTTCCTCCCTGGGTCTGCTGGTTGCCACCTCTTGGCTGGGGTTTGCCAGCCTCCACTTTCGCACCCAGGGTCCACCTGCTGAGGTCTTAGGTGTCTGGTCCTAATGCTCTTTGTGCCTCATGACCTGTCTTCACTCGGCTGCCCAACTCTGTCCCTCCTACCGGTCTGGATGAACATGTCTATTTTAACTCCTTGGTTGTCCAACTTCCATACAGTTCAATTTTCTGTCAGTTCTGGTTGTTACTCTGTTTCTAAATTGTTGTTGTCCCTATCTTGGTTGTGCGAGGAGGCACAGTGTATCTACCTATGCCTCCATCTTTGTCAGAAGTCCTCATATCATATACTTTAAATAATAATGTGTATTAATTGACACACTAGTCACTTTTGTAAGTTCCAACATTTAATAATGTAATCAAAAGCTTTGTGCCCTAAATAATGTGTCTGAGTGGATTGAGAGCAGTCCTCTGAACCAAAAAAATCACTGGTTCAGTTCCCAGTGAGGGTACATTACTGAGTTTCCTGACAGGCCCGCAAAATGAGCCCTGTGACAAGGAAGTATACATTGATGTTTGCCTACCTTACTTTGTCTCTCCCATTCCCTCTGTTGAAAAATAAATTAATTAAAAAATCTTTGAAAAAAAGGACATATTCAAACTTAAGTCTGGTACTAGAGATGGGAATTTTTCTGTTGTAGCATATTAAGTGCAGGGCAGAGAGACAGCTAAGACCAGTGAAATGGAAAACAGCCAATGCTGCTGTTTTCGTTCTTGCAATTATGAATTTTCAACTTTGTTCTGATGTCTTAAAGTACTTAATGTCTGCCTCACTGTCTTCATGTGAACATTACCTGTCATTTCCATGCTTTCTCAGGGGAATCTACATTGAAAATTAGCTGTATTTTGTCTACTACCTTTTTGAGCTTAGCATACAGTTGGACACTAAGGAGAACCCCATGATTGACACTATCTTGGTTGTGCGAGGAGGCACAGTGTATCTACCTATGCCTCCATCTTTGCCAGAAGTCCTCATATCATATACTTTAAATAATAATGTGTATTAATTGACACACTAGTCACCAGGCCTTTCTTCTTCTTCAGTTTTCTTTTGCATCACAGGCTTGATTTTATCCACTGTGGTGAATGGGGTACATCATTTTGACTTTCCAGTGTTTTTTGTTACATGTCACAGACATTCACTCAGCAGTACTGAGGACAGTGGGACATGATACCTGGAACATATTCAGAACTCACAATGGAGACCTATAGTATCATTACACACCTGCTGGAATGTTCACCTCTTCTTCATAGAGGAAACTCAGTGCCCACGTGACCCTGGACTCTGTCAGGACTGGCTACAGGAGACAATGTTGCTCACCATCTATTTCCCTGCGGCCCTGACCTTGTTTAGCAGCCACATCTTCCTTCCAGTCTCCCTGTGTCAGCACCAGAGATCTCTCGGTAGTAACCATAGTCCTTTGGAACACAAACCCTCCCTCCACTGTTGCCCAGGACACTTTGACCACAACTGAGAATCTTACTCCTGATTGTTCCAGACAGCAGCCAATTGGCCAAATTAGTTTTGGTCTATGTCTCCATGACCCAATTAGCATTGTTATGTCTCAGGGGCTTTTTCAGAGAAGAGGATGAGTACTGATCATCCTTGGTGATATTTGCTGTCTGCTTCCATAACATTTTCCTAAGGAATACAATCCATTTAAAAGCACCAGGTGGCATGGGTGGACACTCTGAAAATGGACCCCTTGCCCCTTGTTTATGACTAACTGCTGTCAGTAGAATGTCTAGGATTAGTGCTCAATCTGTAAGCCCTTGTAAGTGTTCCTGATGTTCCATTTTCAACAGAGTGAGCAAGCAGCAGTGAGCAGCCTTATAAGTGACCTGGGACTTTAGGGCATTATGTTCCAAGTCTCTGCATTTTCATTGTATGCTATCTCATAGTTGTAAGTCAAACATTTTCCCAGTTATTCTACAGATACAAGTACACCTTTTAGTGTTTAGTCTATATGGGAAAAAGGTTACGTGTTAGTCATGTTAAAGAGAATAATACTGTGGCATAGCTATAGTCCCCTAAACTGAGATGAGGTGTCAGCTCATTTGTAGGCTCATATCATCTCCATCCTTTAGCTTGAACTTTCTTTACATGCCTAATTATATTGCTAGTTGTATTTTATAACTTTTTATTAGCAGGTTTTACAAGTGTTTCTTGGGGTCTCATGAAATATAATTCATGAATATGTTCCTAATCTTATTGGTTTGACATTGCCCTAGTTATCCTCATCTCACCTATACACCCTTAAATATGTAACTCATAAGTTCTGTTTCATTATGGTAAGTACAAAACCATTTTCATGCTAATGAAAATACCAATAACTTTGTCACAATTTATTTCTGTCAGTTTTTTACAATTAATTTTCCTTATATTTAAATTACAAATGAATGGACTCCAATTTATGTTTATATTATGCATCTTATTTTATTTTCTAAGGTTGGTCTTATATTCTTGTGACATATATGTTCAATGAGGTAACCAGGTGTTAACCTAGTAAAATTTCAGATTCTTCCCATGTGTCATATCCCCACCCTTTTCTTGAGATGTACTTTATCGAGTTTCAGAGATAGTGTGTTCTCAGCAACAGTAACACAAATCCCTTGGATTGCAAAAAGATCACATACAATTCAACGAAATCTCAGGTAATCCTTTGCATTTTGTAATCTTAAGTAATTTTTAAATTTCGACATGAACATTTTCATTTTTTACCTAGAGCTACTTACTGGACATTTTAGACCTTACAATATGCACTGAGGAAAAACCAAATCAGTGAGACTAGGTTTATTACTATATTCTGGGTTGGTCTGGATTTACATGCAATTTGTGAGCTGAACTCCAGTAACTGCATGCCTTTGAGGTCTTCAACATGTACTCCATTGTTAGTAAAAAAAAAAAAAACGTATAATTTAAATAAGAGGCATCTGATCAAATCAGTGTGGACTCCAGTCACAATGCTGTATGGGCAAAGCTAAGATTGCTGCATCAGGAACAGATGCACTTAAGTATTAGTGCATATTTTACCAAATTAACTTTGGAAAGCCAGTCCAACTGCGGCTGAGTAGACAGTGCTAGGGACTTGAACAACCTCCCCCAGCCACATCCAGCCTGAAAACGCCACGTACCATTACCCTGAATCAAAAGCCTTGCAGGCGTTCCAGAGCCCTCGCTTGAGAACTGATCTTCCCTGGAAGGTGATAGGGCGCACTTACTATTCTCAGGGTCTTCTTGGTGTGTAAATTTGCAAAACCACTGCTGGAAACCCTAGCATAATACAGAACACATTTTTCAGTGTAAGATCTCCATTACCCTGGGGAAGGAAGGGGTAGAATAGCAGTAATGAGAACCAATAAAAACTCCGAAATGCATTTCCTGTTGGGTACTACAGTAGGGCGGGACTTATGCCTTACGTGGCTGGCATTTCCTGTTCTCTCAGATTCATGCTTAGACTGACAACCTGTGCTTTGCCAATACCGAGTAGAGCAGGTGCCAGAGTTGTGTTCCCCGCAGTGTCTGTGAGACCCAGTAAGCTGCTCGGGTGACCGGCCCTTGGGGCAGCCCTGGGATCCCCATTCCGGGAACACCCCTGTTACCCGCCGCTCTGGCCCGGCTGGGCCCCCAGAGTCCGATGGCGGCGGGTGCGCTGAGGCGCCGGTTGGAGGTGAGTGCGCGACCCAGCGACCCAATCCTCCCCTATCATCGCACCGAGTCCTGCAGGCCAGGCGCGGTGAGTCTGTCCCATCCTGCAGCCCAGGCCCCAGCAACCAGTCTGGTGAGACAGTTGTGGGTGACACACGGTATGACCGGAGCATGAGCGCGTGCTAAGGGGCCTAGGGCGGTTTTCTTAACTGCAGTATAACACACCGAGGTCTGTTCCTGCCTGGCACCTTCGGAAAAGTTTGGGGTGTCCAACAACCTTCGTGACCTTCACTGCCTAGGGTCAATGTGAATAACAAATCAGTGTGAGAGTAAAGCAAGTTTTATACAGGTAGAAAAAAGAAAGAGGCCAGTATGGGCGACATAGTGCAGGAAAGAAAATGTGTTCCTGCAGTAGAGGCGGGGGTGGGGGTGGGGGTGGGGGCAGCTGGGAGGACAAGAGCGAAATAGTTCTTGGGTTTTTACCCATTTTCAAGGGTGGGGGCTATTTGTCCAAGGTTTTTGGTGCCAAATTCTGAGTGGGACACCCGGTTGGGAGAGGTACTTGTAGTTTGCATTTCTGGGATTACCGGAGGGGCTTCCTGCCATTAATGGTTTTCCTTTGTTGGTGCCCCAACGGAGGGCCTGTGGGTAAGTGTTGTGGCTTCCTACATCCTGTTTACACCTGTCAGGATTTTACTCTAAAATTTTTCTGCTCTGCCTCAGTTGTACTAGGTCATTCTGCAATACTTGAGCACTGTCTGGAAGCCATATACTAAGTTCAAGGCTGCTTTCACAGTGTGGAGCAGGAGGTTGCAGAGCTTAGGCAGTGAACTGGGGTGTGAAGGAGGAAGACATCACACTGTGCCCAGCTACGGGAAGTGTGAACTCATTGTCTGGGGTCCTTGGTGTGGGGATTGAGGGATGAAACATAAGCCCAACTTTGGCTCTGCTGTAGGGGCATGATCTGGGGAGACTGAGTATAATTGATGGGCAAGAGGGATGGAGCCCAGAAGGTTTGGCTTGAGACTAGATGCCTACTTCTCTGCTGCAGGACCAATGATTGCTGTTGTTGCTGAGGGCCATGTGAGTGGTAAATGAGACTGTTGAGACAGCAGGCAGCAGGGCTGTTTTTCTCTGTAGGCTGGGCATCCAGGATGGTTTTGGGAGTGGGAGAGGTTGCTCTGGAATAGCATTGGGCAGGACTGATGTCAGACAGATTATTCTGGTTTCACTTGTATTAATTCTGACAGGTTGTTGTGACCTTTGAGGATGTGGCTGTGTATCTGTCCAGGACAGAATGGTGCCTCCTTGATGAGGCTCAGAGACGCCTGTACCTGGATGTGATGCTGGAGAACTTTGCTCATGTATCCTCGCTGGGTAAGACACTGACTGCCCCTTTGTGCTCAACTTTGGCATGCCTGCACCCACCTTTGTTCAGGGCTGAGTTTGTTCCTGTTATAACCTCTAAGGGTCCTGACCAGACTTGCACTCAGGAGCCAAGGACAGCAGCAGTTTGCCTTGGGTTCACCTTTGATTCTGTCTGCACTGGTCCATTTTTGTCCCTCATTGCCACAAATGTTAATAAGTCTCTCTTTAAAAAGATCATGACGTTTATACTCACCATGCACTTGGACTAGGCTTTGTATGTCCCATACCCTTCATTCTTTAGGAGTTGCCATGTCCTCACATGTTGACTGTAGGTGCACAGTTTGCTCTCCCAGGTTTCTGGGTAGGTCTTGGGGTTGGCGGGGTGGTGTGTTGGCACTGCCCCCTTCTCTCCCAGCTGCCCCAATACCTGCTGTTCTGAAACCCCATAGAGGGGAAGGATTTGAGGTCAGTATTGTTGCCAGAAATCTAACTGATTTCACATTAAGTAGTGTGGAAAGTTGTTTTTCATCATCCTGTTGATAATACCCTCATATGTATATTTACTTTTCATCTTCATCTGAGGATATGTGTAGTAACTATCAGAGAGGAAGGCATAGAGAAACAGAGACAGGGGGATGGAGAGAGAGACACATACAGCAGTGCGAGACAAAAGCATCAGTCAGGTGGCTTCCTTATGTCCCCATGTAGGGATTGAACTTGCAAGCTTCTGGTGCTGCTGTGGAAAATTACCCAACCAACTAGTCCACCTGGCCAAGCTGAATAAAATATTTTATGTATATTTATTGGTTCTGTTGAGTGCAGTACAGTGAATCAAAGGGTGATGAGATTGAGTTTCATTCTGGGGCACATGCCTGGGTTGCAGGTCAGGTCTCCAGTAGGTGGCCCAGGAAAGGCAACCACACATTGCTGTTTCTCTCCCTCTCTTTGTCCCTTCCTTTCTGTCCCTAAAATTAAAATAAGTAAAATCTTTTTTAAAAGTGTATTCAGACTTCATATAATCTGCCTCTGAGATGACATATCCAATTTAGGTCTTGGTCTTGCCTACTTTGAAACTCTTTTCGCAGCTTTTGCTTTATTCATCATATTCTTCTCAATTCCTGAATTTCTCTTCTATTTTTTTATGGTTTCTGACTCTGATCCCCATATTTTGTGACTCTACTTGTTTGTTCATTATGTTGATTTCCATGTGCATTTGCTTGTTCCTCACTGAGGATTGTAAAAATGACTATTTGCATTTTAGCATGAGCAATGTGTAGATCTCCATTTATTGGGAATGCAGTACAAAACTGTTATGTTCCTTTTGTGATTTTTTTACATTGCTTTTGGTCTTAGTATTGAGATCTCAGCACTTTCTGAGACAGTTACTATAAAGATTAGTTTTTATATTCAAGGTTTATTTATTACTCACCAAGAGGGGAAGGGAGGAAGAAAGAGAGGGACCAAACCATCAATGTGTTAGAGAAGTGCTGATTGCTTCCCTCTAGCATGCCCTCAACTGGGGTCCTGGCCAGAATTCCAGTCATGTGGCCTAGAATTCCAGTCAGGTGCTGAGAATCTAGCAGGTGAGCTTTCTGTTAGCAGGCCAGTAGTCAACCCCAAGAAACACACAAGGCAGAGCTAGATGAAGTTTCATCTGCACTTGGATAGGAGTGTGTTTAGTAGGTGCTGTGCTGTGCTTTGGGGAGAGACAAGTTTCAATTCTAATTCTTCTGGCTGCCCCAGAACTGAAGTTAGAGTAGTGAAGACTGTGGGGGTCCCCTGTGGCCAGGGGAGCAGTTTTCCAAGTATCCAGTTGTCCCTGTTGAAATCTTGGTGGCAAAGATTGCTGGGAGTAGATGATGTTATGCCTTCATAAGATGTGATGTAGCCAAGGGGGGTTCCTCTTGATATCCTTTCTGGTGAACTACAGGTTCCTTTGAGATAAAATCTGTGGTAGATTGGCAGATATTACTGAGATTCCTGAGTTTCTCAGCAACAGTGGTAGCCATGGTCATTCACAAAACAGGCCACTAGAGACCACTGTAGCACAAGCTCAGTGGATTGGAGAGAAAGCTCTCACCCTTCTCTTAGGAATCTAAGCATCTTTGCTAAGCCAATGTCTCTTGCAATTCTTTCTGTGCCAATTCCTGTTTTATGCTCCACTTTATGGCTCTTGGAAAAATTGGTCCCCTAGTTATTTCTGTTTTTCCTTGGGGCTGCTTTTAGCAAGATAATTTTCTAATTACTCTTGAAGGGCACATAATATTTGTATTTTTTTTATTCTGCCATCCACCTGATGCTACTCCCATAGATCTTTTTCCTTTTGTCTGTTTGTGCGGAGTTGTTCTACAACAGTGCTGGTAATGCATGTCTTCTCTTTGCTCTTAAGTGTTGCATGATCACCATTTCATGTAACTGCTCAACTGGTAGGGAATGAATGGGTCCTTTGTGTGTAGCACAGCAGGATCATGAGTCCAGCTTTGACAGGATGGGCTCAGGGAGGCTCTGGTGATAGTGAATGTCACATGTGGAGGTTTTAGTTTCATGGCTTTGTTAAAACATAATGGGAATCCTCTTCTGTTTAACTGTATTTTCTCACCATTACCAGTGTCCTCACCTTAATCTTTGTGTCCTTTCCAAGTGTTGGCACTTTTCCTCCTTGTTCGTTCTCATAGTTATCTTTTCTACCATTGCTTGGAGCCAGGGCTCATCCCCGCCTCTGTAACCTCTAGAGCCCTAACTACCCTGTGTGTGAAGAGTGTTTTGGATGTGCCCTTCAAGTTTACTCAATGATCATTGGACATTGAAGCTGCAAATTTTTCAAAGAAACCTTGCATAGTGTCTATTCTCCTGGGGTTGGTTATCGTGGTTTTCTGCATATTCACATCCTCTAAGGGCCTGACATCACTAGCAGAAATGACTTTGCAGGCCGCCATCAGCGGAAGAACAACTTTTAGACCCTGTCTCTCCTTGTTCCACATCCTACCATAATTTACTTCCTTTAATGAGGGGACCATTATTTCTCTCTTAATGCCTGATAATGCACTAGTACTCTGTCTTAAACTCTATCCCACTTGCCTTGTCAATTGTCACAGGGAATCATCCTTACATATGACAGACACAAATTTATGATGAGAATATCCCCACCCTAGTTCACTGTGTACTTCACTAGTGTTTGCTTTTGTTCAGGTTGCTGCTGTGGAGCAGAGGATGTGGAGGCACCCACTGAACAGAAACTCTCTGAACAAGCGTTACAAGAAAAGTATCCCAAGGCAGCTTTGTCTTCCCAGAAGGGCCACCCCTGTGAGAGATGTGGGCCAGTCTTAAGAAACATTTTTCTCTTGGTTGATCAGCAAGGAACGCAACACAGTACAATACTGCTGAGGTGCGGAGCATGTGCAAAACCATTTTATTTCAGTGCCTGGAGGAACCAGAATCAGAAACAGGACACAACACAGAATTACCTCCTAAACAGTGTGGACAGTGTCTCACTTGGAGAGAGCTGCAATTCCCATATGTCATGGAAGCCTCATACGTCCAGTCAGGTTGGAAAAGACTTCACCATGACCTCAGGACATCCAGTGCCACAGGATACTGACACTATGCACAGGGCAAACAAAATCTCTCAGTCTGGAATAACTTTTCACAATACGAAGTATCATTATGTCCAAACAGAAAATAAGAATTCCATGGGTTGTGAAGATACACTTTTTGATGACCAGAGGTTCCTTACAGCGAGACAGTGTTTTGTGTGTTTTGAATGTGAGAAATCATTTTCCAGAATTTCTGCTTTCCGTGTTCATCAGAGAGTTCACACTGGAGAAAGGCCTTATGAGTGCAGTGCGTGCACGAAATCATATACCACTGGTACTGCCCTCCACAACTATCACAACGTTCACAATGGAGTAAGGCCTTATGAGTGCAGTGAATGCGGGAAATGCTTTCCCTATAGCTATGTTCTTAGACATCAGAGAGTTCACACTGGAGAAAAGCCTTATGAGTGCAGTGAATGTGGGAAATTATTTAGGTGGAGGTCTGGTTTTCTGAATCATCAGCGAATTCACACTGGAGAAAGGCCTTATGTTTGCAGTGAATGTGGAAAATCTTATATTACTAGTTCTAACCTCAAAAAACATCAGACAGTTCACAGTGGAGAAAGGCCTTACGAGTGCAGTGAATGTGGGAAGTTCTTTCGCAGTGCTTCTGCCCTCCGTGTACATCGCATTGTGCACACTGGAGAAAGGCCTTATGAGTGTAGTGACTGTGGGAAATTTTTTCGTAGGAGGTCCAATGTTTTGGAGCATCAGAGAGTTCACACTGGAGAAAGGCCTTATGAGTGTAGTGAATGTGGAAAATGTTGTACCAGTAGGTCTGGCCTCTATAAACATCACAGAGTTCATACTGGAGAAAGGCCTTATGAGTGCAAGAAATGTGGGAAATCTTTTGCCAGGAGCTTTACCCTGCGTTGCCATCAGAGAATTCACCTCGGAGAATAACCTTATGGCTGTAGTTTATGTGCAAATACTTTCATTAGTAGGTCCACCTTTTGTCATCATTGAGCTGTTTACACTGGATAAAGGCCTTTTGAGTGCAGTGACTGTGGGAAATCCTTTATCAGAATCAGTCACCTGCATTGTCATCAGAGGGTTCTCACTGGAAAATGTCCTTATAATTGAAGTGAATTTGGGTAATTCTCTTTTTGCATCCATAATTTCAGTTGTTATGACAGAGTTTACACTCCAGTGATGCCTTTTGATGGCTGAGATTATGTGTAATATCTTACCAGCAGTCATGGCCTGTTCTCATCAGAAAATTCAGAATCACTCAGTTCTTACAAGAGTATTCAGGAAATCTTTTTGTTCTAGACATGTGTGTGTTCTTCTCTGAGGTCACAGTTGATATGTTTTTTTATATACATGTCATTTGAGATTGTTTTCCTTGTAGCACTAACCTATATAATATTGAGAGACTTCAGTCTAGGGAAAGGCCTTAGGAGTGCAGTGAGTGTGGGAAATTCGCTTTCCGTCCTCTATCCTTTATATCAGCAGACAGTTTGCACCATAGCTAACCTTTAAGGAGATTTCAAATGTTGGAGATTTTTCCCTCATAGTCATGGCCACCTTAACACTGTTCACTCTTTAGAGTTTTAATGTGTGATGTAAACATGGAAATTTTTACCCAAGCGTCTATTCTGTTTTGACATTGGAGAATTCTCATTGTGTAAATGGCTAGATTATAGGAAATGTGTTTTTGTTTTTTGAAAATTTTATTCATTTTTAAAGAGAGGGAAAGGGAGACAGAAAGTGAGGGAGAGCAAGATCAATGTGTGATTTCCTATTGAACGCCCCCCAGTTGGCCCCCACCCCTGGCAACCCAGGGATGTGCCCTGACTGCAAGTCCAACCACCAACACTCTGGTTTGCAGGCCCCAACTGAATCCACTGAGCCTCACCAACCAGAGCCTTGAAAATGTGTTTTCTTTTTCAGTGTAATGGCACTGAAACTCTCTGGGGAAACATCAGAGTTGAATTTTATATATTCATTCCTACTATGGATATATCTCAGAAGTAGAATGTTTAAATTTTGAAAAGCCATACAAAGTACAACATCAACTAATTGTGCCTTTATCCATTCTTACCACAAGTGTATGCAAAGTGCAGTTCCTCACTGTGACAAAGTCTTCATTTCTTCAATTTTTCTGAATTTAACCTCTTTACAAATGTTTATTGTGCTCTCTCTGTCATTTTAGTTCTTTTAGTTATAGTTGCATGTTCCATTTTAGTTCCATTTCCTTGAGGATGTAGGATGAGCATTTTTGGTGTTATGTACTACTGATATGTTTTTAGTCAAATCTGTGTTCACATAATTTATCTGTTCCTTTCTTAATTTGGGCTACTGTCCTTTAAGAAATAGGGGAGTAAAGCAACAAAGGTATATATTCCAATGACACCCACTTTCACTCCTTGAATAACAAGTCATTTTCATGTTATGGAATAAATGTTTCTTTTTTCTAGGGATGTGATAATTGTTTTAATAGTGTGAAATATATCCAAATTGTTTGGGTTTTACTGTACAAATTGTAGTAGATACATATCATATCCTTTATAGAATTGTCTTCATTAATTAACACACTTCATCAGTTATGTAAGTTTCAACATTTAATCATATAATAAAAAGACTTGTGCCCTGTATAGTGTGTCTGAGTGGATTGAGAGCAGTCCTTCGAACCAAAGGGTCGCTGGTTCAATTTCCAGAGAGGGCACATGCCTGAGTTGGTGTCCAAGTCCTCAGAAGGGGCCCCTCCCTTATTTTGTCTATCCCATTCACTCTGTCTAAAAATGAATAAATTAAAAAATCTTTTTGCCCTGTCTAGTATGGCTCAGTGGATTAAGTGCTGGCCTAACAACCAAAGGCTCAGTGGATTAAGTGCTGGCCTAACAACCAAAGGATCTCTGGATCTATTCCCATTCAGCAGGGGATGCCAGGATTGCAGGCCAGGTCCCCAGTAGGGGGCGTGTGCGAGATAGCTACACATTGATGTTTCTCTCCTCCTCTTACTCCCCCCTCCCTTACCCTGAGTCTAAAAATAAATACATAAAATATTTTTATGTATTTATTTTTAGGGAGGGAAGGGAGGGAGATAGAAACATCAATATGCGGTTGCTGGGGGTTATGGCCTGCAACCCAAGCATGTACCCTGACTGGGAATCGAAACTGCGACACTTTGGTTCGCAGCCCGTGCTCAATCCACTGAGCTACGCCAGCCAGGGACATAAAATATTTTTTAAAAAATCTTTTTAAAAAGTCTAATCAAATTTAAGTCTGCCAGCAGAGATGGGGACATTCTCCACTGTGGCATATTAACACCTCAGTGCAGGGCAAAAACATAGCTAAGTCCAATAAAATGGAAAACACAGCTATTGATGCTGTTCTCGTTGCAGTTATGAATTTTCAACTTTGTTCTCATGTCTTAAAGTGCTTAACATCTGCCTCACAGTCTTACATGGGAACATTACCTGTAATTTCTTTGGTTTCTCCAGGGGAATCTACCTTGAGTGTTAGGTATATTTTGTCTACTGCCTTTACAGCTTAGCACATAGCTGGACACTAAGGAGGCCCCCATGACTCAGGCCTGGGCCTTTCTGCAAGTTCAGTTTTCTTTTGCATCACAGGCTCAAATTTATCCACTGTAGAGAATGTGGTGCATCATTTTGATTTTCTGTTTTTGCAACGTGTCACAGACATTCGCTCTGCATTACTGAGGACAGTGGGACGTGATACCTGGAACATATTCAGAACTCACAATGGAGACCTATAGTATCATTACTGCCCTCATGGACTATTCACCTCTTCTTCATAGAGGAAACTCAGTGCCCACATGACCCTGGACTCTGTCAGGACTGGTTACAGGAGACGATGTTGCTCACCATCTATTCCCTGACCATGTCCAGCAGCCACATCTTCCTTTCTAGTCTCCCTGTGTCAGCACCAGAGATCTCTCAGTAGTAACTATAGGCCTTTGGAACACAAGCCCTCCCTCCACTGTCCAGGACACTTTCGCCACAACTGAGAATCTTACTTCTGATTGTTCCAGACAGCAGCCAATTGGCCAAATTAGTTTTGGTCTATGTCTCCATGACCCAATTAGCATTGTTATGTCTCAGGGGCATTTTCAGAGAAGAGGATGAGTACTGATCATTCTTGATGATATTTGCTGTCTGCTTCCACAACATTTTCCTAAGCGATATAATCCATTTAAAAGCAAAAGTGGCATGGGTGGACACTCTGAAAATATATCCCTTGCCCCTTGTTTACGACTAACTGCTGTCAGTAGAATGTCTAGGATTAGTGCTCAATCTGTAAGCCCTTGTAAGTGTTCCTGATGTTCCATTTTCAACAGAGTGAGCAAGCAGCAGTGAGTAGCCCTGGTAAGTGACCTGGGACTTGAGACTTATTTTCCATGTGTCTGCATTTACATTGTATCCTACTACTTAGTTGTAAGTCAGACATTTTCCCAGTTATCGAAGAGATACAAGTACACATTTTAGTATTCAATCTACATGAGAAAAAGTAAGTGTTGGTCATGTTAAAGAGAATAATACTGTGGCATAGCTGTGGTCCCCTGAGCAGAATTCAGGGGTCAGTTAATTTTTCGACTCAGTTCAAGCAGTTCTCATTGAATTGTAACATCATCTCCATCCATTAGCTTGTAGTTAATTTACTTCCCTGATCATATTGCTAGTTATATTTTAGAGCCTTAACAAGTTTTTCAAGTGTGTCTTGGTGTCTCACATAATATAATTCATGAATGTGTTCCTAATCGTATTGCTTTGACATTGCCCTAGTTATCCTCATCTCACCTATACACCCCTAACAATGTAATGCACAAGTTCTCTTTCATCATGGTAACTACAAAACTATTTTCACAGTAATGAAAATACCAATAACTTTGTCACAAGTTATTTCTGCCAGTTTTTTTACTATTTTTTTTCTTGATATTTAAATTACAAGTACATGGGCTCCATTTTATGTTTATGTTTTGCATTTTCTATTTTGTAAGGTTTGTTTTATATTCTTGTAACATAATGTTATGTGTTCCATGGGGCCACCAGATTGTTAACCTAGTAAAATTTTAGTCTTCCGTGGGTCATACCCCACTTTATTGAGATGTGCCTTTCATCTGAGATGTGAGAGGTGCACTCTGATCAACTGGAATACAAATCCCTCAGACTGGAAAAAGATTGTGTGCAACAGAGCAAAGTCTCAGATTATCGTCTGCATTTTGTGATCTTAAAGAATTTTTAAATTACAGTATGAACATTTTCATTTTTGGTCTAGTACTACTGGATGTTTCATGCACTACAATATGCACTGAGGAGGAAATAATCCGTGTGACTAGCTTTGTTGGTATATTCTTGGTGGGCCTGGAAATTTAAATGCAATTTCTGGACTGAATTCCAGAAACTGCATGTCTTTGAGGTCTTACAAATGTACTGCCTTGTTAGTTTAAAAAAAATGTATAATTTAAATCGAGGCATCTGATCAAATGAGTGAAGACTCCAGTCACCCTGCTGCCTGGGCAAAGCTAAGACTTTTGGCCGCATCAGGAAGAGGTGCAATACATTAACTTCGCAAAGCCAGTGCAATGCGGCTGGGTAGGTAGTGTTAGGGACTTGAACAATCTCCCCCAACCACATGCATCCTGAAGGAGCCACGTGTCATGGGCCCAGAATCAAAGGCCTGTAGGCGTACCAGGGACCCTTTCCTGAGAAATGATCTTCCCTGGAAGGCGATACTGCGCACTTATTCTCAAGGTCTTCTTGGTGTGTAAATTTGCAAATCCACTCCTGGAATCGTTAGCGTAATTCAGGATGCCATCCTGGAGTGTAAGATCTCCATTACCTAGAAGGCAGGTGGAAGAGCAGGACGATGAGCCAATAAAAACTCTGAACTGCATTTCCGGTTGGGTACTACTGTAGGGTGGGACTTTTGCCTTCCATTGGCTGGTATTTCCTGTTCTCTCAGATGGCTCATTAGATGTTCAGCATGTGAGGTGCGAATATCCAGTAGAGTAGGCGACAAAGTTGTATTACCCGTAGTAGCTGTGAGACCCAGCAAAGCTGCTCAGGTGACCAGCACTTGAGACAATCCAGGGATCCCCATAGCAGGGAAAACCTTTTTGCTTGCTGCTCTAGTCCGGGCCTGCCCACAGAGTCTAATGGCGGAGGGCAGGCTGAGACACCGAGTGCAGGTGAGTACGCGACCCTGGTCCCTCCCCATCACCGCCCCTCGCCCTGCAGGATGGTCATGGGTGAGACATGGGGTGACCGCAGAAAGGGTGACGGGCTGAAGGGCCCACGGTAGTTTTCTTTCTGAACCTCTAACACCCCGGGGGCTGTTCTCGCTGGTCATGTTCAGAAAAGTTTTGCAAGTCGGACAACCATGTCCCTGATTGGGCCAGGGTCAATTTGAATAACAAATCAGGGTAAGACTAAAGCAGGTTTTATTCAGGTAGCAAAAAGAGTCCGAGTGGGCGACCCAGTGCAGTAACCAAGACGTGTGCCTCTAGTGGAGGTGGGCCAATTCCAGAGACAGCAGCAAAATAGTTTACCCTTTTCAAGGGAGGGGGCAGTTTTTGGCGACAAATTTTGAATGAGACTCTTATTGGGAAAGTTCCTTGTACTTTGCAGTCCTGTGGGTGCCCAAGGGGCTTCCTGCCATTAACTGTTTCTTTTGTTGGTGCCTAGAGGGAGTAGCTCATGTGAGATGTTGTAGCCTCCTACTTCCTCCTTCTACCTGTCAGTGTTTTTCCCTAAATTCTTTCTGCCCTGCCTCAGTTGTACTAGGTCATTCTGCAATACCTGAGCACTGTCTGGAAGCCATATTCTAAGTACTGGATGCTCTCAGAGTAATGCCTGTTGTGCAGAGCAGGAGGTGTCAGAGCTGAGGAACTGAAAATGGGGTGTGAAGCTGTGAAGGAGGAACACATCACACTGTGCCCAGCTAGAGGAAGTGTGAACTCATTGTCTTCGGTCCTCTGTTCTCAGTGTGGGGATTGAAGGGTGAAACATAAGCCCAACTTTGGCTCTGCTGAAGAGGCATGGTCTGGGAGACTCAGTGAAATTGGTGGACAGGAGGGATGGAGCCCAGATTTGGCTTGAGACTAGATGCCTACTTTACTGCTGCAGGACCAATCACTGCTGTTGTTGCTGAGGGCCATGTGAGTGGTAAATGAGACTGATGAGACAGCAGGCAGCAGGGCTGTTTTTCTCTGTAGGCTGGGCATCCAGGATGGTTTTGGGAGTGGGAGAGGTTTCTCTGGAATAGCATTGGGCAGGACTGATGTCAGACAGATTATTCTGGTTTCATTTGTATTAATTCTGACAGGTTGTTGTGACCTTTGAGGATGTGGCTGTGTATCTGTCCAGGACAGAATGGTGCCTCCTTGATGAGGCTCAGAGACGCCTGTACCTGGATGTGATGCTGGAGAACTTTGCTCATGTATCCTCGCTGGGTAAGACACTGACTGCCCCTTTGTGCTCAACTTTGGCATGCCTGCACCCACCTTTGTTCAGGGTTGAGTTTGTTCCTGTTATAACCTCTAAGGGTCCTGACCAGACTTGCACTCAGGAGCCAAGGACAGCAGCAGTTTGCCTTGGGTTCACCTTTGATTCTGTCTGCACT